AAAAAAAAAAAAAAAAAAAGTCATGGCCTCACAGAGATCAGAGTGAAGGACAAGCAGAAATTCTTGACCGTGTTCTTCTTTTTTTTTTTTTTCCTCTATTTTTTATTTTTTAACAGAAAGCATCAGCAGCCCCGTCTGCAGGAGGGAAACGTAGGGGAAGACCCAAGAAGGAGGTAAGATTTAACCCAAGTGCTCACATTTGCTAAACCAGCTGTCTCCCTAATTATGATGGGTATGACTGTGAACAGTGGAATTGCCTCTTTAATTTCCTCCTTACCCTCCGATGAGTCAGTCTTACTCATCAGCTGCTGAGATCTTTTTGTTGGTTTAGAGCAGCAGTCTTCTTAAATATTGACAGTAGGTGACTTTATTTGCAAGGCTGACACCTATGCTTTAATAATCTAAACAGTTTGTGTTGAATAAATAAAGGAGCAGCTGTTTCATAGTAACTTGTATGAATAGTTTACTCACACTCTTAAAAGGTTGTTTTGGTTTCATTAGTCACCAGAGAAGAATGATTGCCCACCCTAACTAACCCACTCCTTTTTATGAATGAACAAGTTTGTAGTAGTGCGCGTGTGAAGAAAATAGCAGGATGGCTCATTGTGACTCACCACTTATGAATCACTTCACTACAGATGGTTCACCCTAGCCCTGGGTGCTCTTCATGCCACAGCAGTTAGTCAAAGCCCTTTTCCTCCCATTGGAAGTTAATAACGGCCAAATAAATAAATAATCTGTCATGTTGTGGCATGAACCACATGCAGTGTTTGTTGTTAACCAGTTAAAGGCTTCCTTGTAGTTGCAGGCAATACCTAAAGTTTTTATTTGTTTCTGTTTTGTCACAGGAGAAGGAAGAAAAGGCATCCCAAGAATCATCTGAGGAGGAGGAGGAAGAGGAGGAGGACCAGTAATTCAACACATGCTACCTCACTCAACATACTGACTTACTGTTAATCAGAACTGGGCTGTTTCTCCAACACCAGTGCCACCATATGACCACTGTTCACAACAAAGCCCCCCTTTTTTTGCCAAAGGCGGGTTAACACAGTACATGTATCATGCAGCAGCACTGGATTTATTAAAAACAACAACAACAACAAAAAAAAACAATGGACTTTCTCAAGCATTAGATTTGAGATTTGCGTGACCGGTAAAAGTTCTTCTGTCATGTAATCACAAATTCTTTGTTCTACTGGATAAAGTGTGCTCTGAGGAGCCTAGGTGTCTGTTTCTTTTTTTGTCTCGTTTCCCCCCCTTTAAATAACGCTTTGTAGGACTTTCTCTGCTCAGTCATATTTGTTGCATCTGTCACAGTAGAGCATATAGATTCTTGTTTTATACTGGACGAAGGTGAATTTTACCTATTTGCTGTTAGGTTTTTTTTAATTATTTGGGTGAAGTGGTTGACCTATCCATTGCATTGTAATATAGATGGAGATGAGCTCCAGCGTTTAGTACGAGAATAGGTTACTTATGGTAGAGGTGTCTGTTCCACGTTAATCTCCTTTTCCGGCTTGATTAGAGCGTCTTGACCACCTTTTTTCCTCTAGAACAGTTTCAATTTAGCAGCGCTTCTCCAACATTCTCAGTTCTTTGCATGTAGTGGGGAGATGTAAAGTTTGTTGGGATGATCCGGTCTGTTTTTTGTTTTGTTCGTTTGTTTTTCTGGGTTAAATAACATTTTAATAATCATGTGTCGTTTTTTATGTTTAGAACTCGGTGTCGGCAGAATTTTAGGCTGAAAGTAATCAGTGTCGTTTCTTCAGGGAGCTTTTACAAATGCTGTTACATTGGCGTCTTCACACAAGCGCTCGCTCAATCATTCACAAAAATCACTGCAACTGGTCAAACGATACGTTTGATTGTAATAGTGGGTAGTTGGTGGCACTACTATCCAACAGGGCTGTACAGTTTGCGTTCCATCTAGCTTTCAATGCTTTACCTAGCGCCTTTTTTATGTTTTATTTTTTTGTCCTCAGTATTGTATCAGTAATGTAACCCTAGTTTTCTCGAGGCATATATTGTACGCTGTCTACGACGATGAACTAAGACGTCTTTTCATTGTTCAGTCCACTTAACTGGGTTTATTTTTTTTTTTCCCACATACCTAAGCTGCTACAACCTCCGTTACAAAACCCGGAAAACTGCAAACGGGCGCGACAAAAGCCTGGACGTTCATACCTCGCTTTAACAGGTGACTTAACATGCAATCGCATTTAACTGGTTTTGTTTTTAATGCCACATCTGGTGAGAGTAAAGTTGTTTTTCTTTTTACAAACCTGACTGCAACACGTATCGAAGGTGTTCAGTGTGAAATGTGTGCATAAATGTCTTTGCTTGTTCACAGCCCGAGCTTGCCGACAGGTTGTTTTTAAATGTGTGAAGTAAGTCAGGGAGACCTGTCAGCTCGACAACCGTGTTCACGGACTGTGGTAGATTAGAAAGTGTTTGGTTTTTTTTTTTATTTCTCTGGTGCACTGAAATGTTAGTTCAGTTTTTCATGGACAAATGTGCTTTTATGTAAACCCGGCGCTCTTCACAGTTCTGTTGGCCGTCGTGTGTTTCCTCCGTCTCCACACGCAGCCGCTCTTTTTATCAAACGAGTCACTTTACATCTCTTATCCTCTTCCAACGACACGCCAGTTTCAGAACATCGTTTGACTTGTATACTGTAAGCTCGACAGGATGGGATCATTTCTTTTTGATGTACATCTATATAAATGTACAATGTCTATATTTCTATGGTGCCCTACAATTTGTATCAGAAATGGTCAATAAAAAGAACTTTTCTTTGTCTTTTGTCATTCTCACTGGGATTTTTTTGCACGTTCAAGTCTAGTAGGATGGTGCTGGGTTGCCCGTGATTTTTCTCTGGGGACTAGTTTCTTCCCACAGACCAAACATGCAGGTTATGTTTAACTAAACTGTCTCTTTGTGAGTGGTCTGATGGACGTGAACTGTCCAGGGTGGACGATGTCTCAGTGACTCCAAAATAAAACGTGTTGAAGATGATTCAGCTGCTCGGTTGTAAAAATTAAATCGGCCACATGTTTCCTGTGGTCGGCTCAGTTGCAGATGTGATTTGTCCGGGGCATCTTTGGAAAAAGATTAATCTCAATGGATTTCTTCCTGCTAAAATAAAGGTTTAATAATCATGTGTATTCAAATAATTTCTTAATGTTTCATTTAATAAGTCCAGTGGATTGTGCAATATTTTGCTAACAGATGACTAATGGCAATTTAAAACTTTGTGAAATTATTTTGTTAGCATTCAGAATTGTGTGTAGAGGACTCAGCTATCACTAAGTACTCATTTTGATGTTTTTGTCCCCGTCATGGAAAGAAAAGAAGGAATTGAAATACCGTCCATTAATTTTGTGACTGCAATAATTTGAAGAATAAGTGCAGCTTGGACTTCCATTTTGTATCTACGAGTAAAGAGTTGACACAAATCCAAGACCGCCACCACCATACACGTACTGGTCATAAAATTAGAATATCATGAAAAAGAGATTAGTTTCAGTAATTCCATTCAAAAAGTGAAACTTGCATTCATTCATTAGTCAGAGAGCGAAATTATGTTCACAGGGTCCCAGTTACATCTAACAACGTGTAAGAAAAACTAATGTAAGATATGAACTAAAAATACACTAAGCACTAATAGCATAAAAACATTACGTCTAACAGCAGCAGGAGTCTGAGCGGATGTGCACGCATGAACACAGCAACATGAAACAGATCAGCAGCAACATGATGTGATTATTCTAGTTAAAGATTCATGAGTCTATCAGCCTCAGGGTAGAAGCTGTTCCTCAGTTTAGTTGTTCTACACTTGATGCTCCTCAACCTCTTTCCTGAGGGAAGCGGGGCAAAAAGTGTGTGTGCTGGGTGAGTGGGGTCCTTCATGATGCAGGTGACTCCCTGCATCTGGAGGTGCAGATGTCTGATGGTGGGGAGGCTGACTCCAACATCTTCTGTGCAGCCTTCACCACTCTCTGCAAAGCTTTTCTTTCTGCAGCTGTGCAGCCTCCATGCCACACGTTGATGCTGGAGCACAGGATGTTCTCCACTGCACACCTGTAGAAGGAGGTGAGGACTGAGCTTCCCAGACCAGCTCGTCTCAGCCGCCTGAGGAATTAGAGTCTCTGATGATCTTTCTTGATCAGGCTGGTGGTGTTGCTCCAGCTGAGGTTGTCATTTAGGTGTACACCCAAGTACTTGTAGCTGGAGACCACTTCCACTGCTGTGATGTATATCAGTGATATATTTCAAAAGTATTTATTTTAATGTTGATGATTATAACTGACAATTAATAAAAACTCCAAATTCAGTATCTCAGAAAATTATAATATTAAGACCAAATTAAAAAATATATTTTTAGAAATGTTGGTCAACTGAAAAGTATGAACATGAAAAGTATGAGCATGTACAGCACTCAGTACTTAGTTGTTGCTCCTTTTGTCTGGATTACTGCAGCAATGCAGCATGGCATGGAGTCGATCAGTCTGTGGCACTGCTCAGGTGTTGTGAGAGCTCAGGTTGTTCTGATAGTGGCCTTCAGCTCTTCTGAATTGTTGGGTTGCCAGGAGAACGGTACTTGTCTGACTGCATTGTGCCAAGTGTAAAGTTTGGTGGAGGGGGGATTAAGGTGTTGGGTTGTTTTTCAGGAGCTGGGCTTGGCCCCTTAGTTCCAGTGAAAGGAACTCACTGCTTCAGCATACCAAGACATTTTGGACAATTCCATGCTCCCAACTTTGTGGGAACAGTTTGGAGCTGGCCCCATCCTCTTCCAGCATTTGTGCACCAGTGCACAAAGAAAGGTCCATAAGGACATGGATGGCAGAGTCTGGTGTGGATGAACTTGACTGGCCTGCACAGAGTCCTGACCTCAACCCGATAGAACACCTTTGGGATGAACTAGAGCGGAGACTGAGAGCCAGGCCTTCTCGTCCAACATCAGTATGTGACCTCACAAATGTGCTTCTGGAAGAATGGTCAAAAATCCCCAAAAACACACTCCTAAACCTGTGGACAGCCTTCCCAGAAGAGTTGAAGCTGTTCTAGCTGCAAAGGGTGGACCAATGTCATATTGAACCCCATGGGTTAGGAATGGGTTGTCACTTAAGCTCATATGTGAGTCAAGGCAGGTGAACGAATACTTTTGGCAAAGTAGCATATGTGTAACCTCTATCATTTAAGGAAACTGCTTTCTAGTTTTGTATTGCGTCCTCCAATGACTAATCTATGGTGGCCAAGGCCAGCCACTGGTTTTGCCATTTCACCTGGTGGTGGATAAAATTACTCCCTCCACTTGCCAGGATCCATCATTCTGCGTCACCTTGGACAAAAAATAAAATAAACGAGCTCGGTTCTTTCAGTGTAACTCCTGCCCACTTCAATATTTTGCACCAAAAACACCAGGTTTACGTGCATTCCCTGGATATTTACAGCCCATCCATCCATCCATTATCTTTTTACCTGCTTCTTCCATTTTGAGTCACGGGGGTCGCCGGTGCCCATGTCCAGCAGTCTCTGTGCGAGGGGCGGGGTACACCCTGGACATGTCTCCAGTCCATTACAGGGACACATAGAGACAAACAACCATTCACTCTCTCACTCACACCTAGGGACAATGTAGAGTTACCAATCAGTCTAACATGCATGTTTTTGGTCTGTGGGAGAAAAAAAAAACACGCATGCACAGAGAGAACATGCAAGCTCCACCTAGAAAGGCCCCCAGACCAGGATTTGAACTGGCAACCTTCTTGTTGAGAGGCAGCAGCTCTACCAGTTGCACCACTGTGCCCCTATTTCCAGTCCAGAGAAACACCAACCGATCTCAAAACCTACAAACATTCAGTATTCAAATGCGACAGACGACGTCAGGTCCTTCTTGTAATTTTTTTTAGGTCAGTTGGCTGTGGCGGCCATCTTGAATCAGTAGTTAATCAAATGTAGGTCCAATAATTATTTTCTGTAAATTTGATTAATAACTGCCAAGCAGTTTATATTTTTGGAACAAACACAAACAGTCCTTCACCTTTCAGTTGAGGGTGATAATTGCAAAGAAAAGTTGTTTTTCTTTATTTCCTTCATTGTTTCAAGCAACAGCATCATCGAACCTCTTACAGCAATGACAGTGCAAATTTAAACTAGCATGCTAACACGTATACATCAGTAGTTTCTTGACTTCAAGTGCTACAAAAAAACCGAGCCTTAAAAAACAGTTGTGCAGCTTGAACAGTGAATCAATTCGATAAGCTTTAACTGGATTAAAGTTGCAGGAATCTAAGGAAAATGTACACTTCATGTGCAGAAATTACTCAGAAGTACAAAGGCTCTAAAATAGATCAACTGCCCCGTGGCTAGGGCAGTTAAACCGTTTCAGTTTACATTCAACAAATAAAGTTTATAACAAAACAAGCTTACCTGAGTGCTCGACACAGACCTATGGCATTCATCTGAACAGATTGTTTTCAGTCAGAAGTCATTTTGCTGGTGCCATGCCTTGAAGACGGAACATATTTTGGGCTCTAGTCACAACTCGTTACTGAGTTTGGAGGAAGTTGATATTTACTTCTTTTTGTTTTTATTTCATACCAATGTTATGAGTCACAGGATTTGGCAAAACCACAAAACAAAAACCAAAAAGTGTGCATTCCATTATAAACTTGCACGCAGCCTAAAAGGAATGAGCATCTGTTCAAATTTCTGACTCAAAATGAAGCTGGCAGCTGATTCTCACTTCATTAGGAGTTTGTGATGTAAGAAAATCAAATGTTTTGAATCAGAGAAGCCACTAATGCTCTGCAAGCAAACCTCTGCACAAGCCAGGCACGACAGCTGATCTTTAACTAGTGCACAACGTCGCCGCACTGGATGCACGCGCCGAGTTACGATCAATACGAGTACCTCCTGCAAACCACAGGAACTGAGCTGCCTGCCGCACGGTGCCCACAACAACAATAAGAATGTAAACAGCAGCTCGTATCTTCTGCCTTCCAGGACTTTGACGTCATCGAGTACCACAATAAAATAACGTTTGATAAATAATCTTTAAATAAATAAGTCTGGGGAACTGCATTTCTATAGCAGGCAGAATGGCACAAGAAAACGAAAGGCTTGCTGTCACAGAGATAACAGGAGCAAAGAAGGAAAACAAAGTCATAAATCGGAGTAAAACATGACTAATCTGGATTACTGAAGGTTGTTCTCCCTCTGCAAAAATGTTCGTTGCCAGGGTTTTAGTGCCATCACGCTTCGATGTCTTTGGTTAGAAGAGGGCGTCGCTGTTGGAAACTTTTTGCCCAGCCTTGTACGATCTGAAGACAGGAAATACAGAAAAGTTTAGTTCAACACCGTGACGTTTTTAAGAGTGAGGATGTGTAATAAAATCAGTATTCATACTACTTCTGCATTCAACTTAGATAATGATTATCAATTTACATGTCAGTAATGATATTGTGTGAGATTATTCACCATATATCTCACACCTATAAACAGCCTGCAGGCCTCTTATTTTCATTAACTATATACTAATCAGGCTGACTAGGGTAAGGACCTTTTCCACACAAAAACAAAAGATTTTCCAAAACGTAAAAACGTTATTTTGTCACTTGTAAAAAGATTCTCATAAACATGATGCTAATTATAGAAATGTCCTAATCCACACGTAAACGATACAGTGAAGCAAATACTAAAGTAGTTACACGAGGCCAGTAACGCTGCTATAAAACTACAACAAAAACAGGAAACAAGGCGTGGAACTTGTGCATAAAGCTCGTACTCTGTATGAGAATCAGTTTTTATTATTATTATTATTGTTATCATACACTACTTTTCCCAGAGGCTGCTAAAGAAAAAAAATGGGTCGAGTGAAATTTGCTGCCACAAAAAGAATGGATAGCAAGGAGTGACGACTGAAACAAAGGTGCCCATTTTCAGTGTGTTAATGTTCCTAACTTAAAGGTTTAAGTCTTCTTTAACAAAAGATGAGGTCTACTTAGTAAAACTATGTTTTAGTTCAGAGTAAAATTGAAAAAGCACAATGAATGGACTCTCATGTTACTGACCAGATGTGCTGAATACAGAAAATTCATACAAACTGATGCAGTAAATTAGCCATGTTTATGCCTCATCAGATGATTTGGTTGACAAGTCATAAAAAACCTGATGAAATAAAAATATTAAAATGTTTATCTTTATTATTAAAAATTTTTTTTTTTTCCTCAAATTCTAACTTGCATGTGTTAGAAGATAAAACAAGTACAGCCTGACTGATATATTGGTAGGGCCGATAATTCCGAATGACATAGACGTTTGGAGAAAATATCTGTGATAATTGTCCCATTATTTGCAGATATAAGTACTTCTAATTTTCACCCCTAAAATGCTGGGATCAGGCGTAATTGTACAATGTATCCAGCAGAGGGCGCATGAAGACTACTTTCAAGCCATGCCTTAAGTTTCACGTTTGACGTTCAGCACAGATGAAGCAGGGAACAACTGTGTAGAGGATTTTGCTGAACAGATCATGGTAAGTCGATTTTAACTGATCTGTAAAATAAAAAAATCAACAATAAATTATCTTCAGTCCTCCAACCCGCTTGTCACTGGCTACTACGTTCCTCTCAAGTTATCAAGCTCACGTTAGTGTTCAGTTGCACCGCCTTCACGACATTTGAACCGTTGTTATTAGTTACAGCAACAGTCCTGTCTGACTGAGCTTCCAGTTTGTGAGAACATCGAGTGTTAGTAACGTTATCTTTGTCATCCTCATTGAAATGTATTGTTTGTCTGAAATCTTTACTTCTCTGCCAAGAAAAATAAACGCAGCCGCAGCCAATACTATTTAGATCTTCCACATACGTGACTGACTGTGTAAACAATGAACAGGACAGGGTGTTTGTTTACCATAATTTATATTTTGATAACAAACTTGATAACTTTATGGTGAATGGTGGAGGATGGAAAATGTGAACGCATTAGGAAGACTGTTTTTATGACCAGCACACCAATTGTAAACTTAGCATGGGACAACGTAGGCTATATCGTGGATTTGATTTGCTCAGCTTCATGATTGCCAACATCCATGCTAAATAAACAAGCCCTGTTCCACTCTGTTTACTTGGATTCTTGGAGGTTGACAAAAAAAATAAAATTTTTGCCATTATACAAGTTATCGCCTTCCCCCTCCCAATATCGTATTGGTGACAGCCAAAATTTCCATATCGGCCTGGCTCTAAAAACAAGGAACAAAGTCTACAAACACTGAAGTGTTTCCATCCTCTAGTTTCGTTTTTATACTTATTGAGACCTGGAAAATACTTCAAACAAATTTCATATGTTTCCAGACTGTTGTGGTTGCACAACCCACCCTGATATTAAATTATTTACAAAATAGTCACAAATATACTAAATTCACAAAAAAAAAAAAACCTATTAAAAGTAATAGACAAGTGTTGTGTTTGGCAATAGCAACTATTGAAGACAAATTCATTGGTTTGATTGCAGGTTCTTAAAAAGCAGCTTTGGTGAACATCGCCACCTAGTGTTACCTTGATGTCTGTGCATGACAGAACTTGTGGACTGTTAACTTTAAACATGAAAAATTAACTAAGGATTGAAAGAAATACATGAAATACCAATTAATATGATGCAAACACAAATAAGATGCATACATTTATAAGCTATTAATAATGGGCTACAGGTCATTATATTAAAATTAAATGTCAGCCCGTGAATATAAAATTTTCAGTCAAAGCATTTTTATTTAGGTCATATATTCAGTTTAATTAACTTCTACACAGTTTAACAAATAAAAAGTTTAAACAGAGGATAAGGAAAATACAAACCGGATTCCAAAAAAGTTGGGACACTAAACAAATTGTGAATAAAAACTGAACGCAATGATGTGGAGGTGCCAACATCTAATATTTTATTCAGAATAGAACACAAATCATAGAACAAAAGTTTAAACTGAGAGAATGTATCATTTTAAGGGAAAAATCTGTTGTTTCCAAATTTCATGGCGTCAACAAATCCCAAAAAATGTTGGGACAAGTTCATTTTTACCACTGTGTGGCATCCCCCCTTCTTCTTACAACACTCAACAGACGTCTGGGGACAGAGGAGACCAGTTTCTCAAGTTTAGAAATAGGAATTCTCTCCCATTCATGTCTAATACAGGCCTCTAACTGTTCAATCGTCTTGGGCCTTCTTTGTCGCACCTTCCTCTTTTTGATGCGTCAAATGTTCTCTATAGGTGAAAGATCTGGACTGCAGGCTGGCCATTTCAGTACCCGGATCCTTCTCCTACGTAGCCATGATGTTGTGATTGCTGCAGAATGTGGTCTGGCATTATCGTGTTGAAAAATGCAGGGTCTTCCCAGAAAGAGATGACGTCTAGATGGGAGCATATGTTGTTCTAGAACCTGAACATAGTTCTCTGCATTAATGGTGCCTTTCCAGACATGCAAGCTGCCCATGCCACAAGCGCTCATGCAACCCCATACCATCAGTGATGCAGGCTTCTGAACGAAGCGTTGATAACAACTTGGGCTATCCTTGTCCTCTCTGGTCTGGATGACATGGCGTCCCAGTGTTCCATAAAGAACTTCAAATCGTGACTCATCTGACCACAGAACAGTCTTCCATTTTACCACACTCCATTTTAAATGACCCCTGGCCCAGTGCAAACGTCTGAGCTTGTGGAGCTTGCTTAGAAATGGCTTCATCTTTGCACTGTAGAGTTTCAGCTGGCAACGGCAGATGGCACGGTGGATTGTGTTCACTGACAATGCTTTCTGGAAGTATTCCTGAGCCCATTCTCGGGCCGAGATGGTGTAGAGGCAGGGCAGCCGGCTTGGGACCCGAAAGTCCCAGGTTCGATCCCCAGTCACTGCACATCACGTGGTGTCTTTGGGCAGCACACCTCATCCCCAAAATGCCTCCCAGGCGCTTTCAATAGCTGCCCACTGCACCACCTGGTGGTGGATGGGTTAAATACAGAGACTAATTTTGCCATTGTATGGAAACATACAGTGCTGACATTGTGATGACATTATTATTATTATTATTATTATTTCCTTGACAGTGGCATTCCTGTTTGAGGTGCAGTGACGTTTAAGGGCCCGGAGATCACGAGCATCCAGTAGAGTTTTACGGCCTTGACCCTTACGCACAGCGATTGTTCCAGATTCTCTGAATCTTTTGATGATGTTATGCACGGTTGATGATGATAACTTAAAAGTCTTTGCTATTTTATGCTGGGTAACACCATTCTGGTATTGCTGCACTATCTTTCTGTGCAACAATGGTGGAATTGGTGATCCTCTTACCATCTTGGCTTCTGAGAGACACTGACACTCTGAGAAGCTCTTTTTATACCCAATCATGTTGTCAATTGACCTAATTAGTGTTAATTGGTCTTCCAGCTGTTCGTTATAAGCTCAATTTCCTTTTTCCAGCCACTTATTGCTACTTGTCCCAACTTTTTTTGGGATTTGTAGACTCTGAGAAATTTTGAATCAACATATTTTTCCTTTAAAATGTTACATTTACTCAGATTAAACTTTTGATCTGTCATCTATGTTATATTACAAATAAAGTATTGACATTTGCCATCTCCACATCATTGCATTCAGTTTTTATTCACAATTTGTTTAGTGTCCCAACTTTTTTGGAATCCGGTTTGTATATGTCCTAGTTTTTAGCAAAGCTGTACTGAAAGAAGATATCTAAAATATTAACCACCAAAATGATACCACACCCAGCTTCTGGCTGCTACTGGGACTAATGGAGGGGGATTTGAATATTGTTCATAAAACCTTTGTTACTCCATTATTACCAAATATTTTGACTTCTTACTGCAACAGAACTACGTGTAAAGAGGAAGAGACGAAAAAAATTGAGGAACGAGTGTGTTACGAAGCTTAAAGTTACAACTCATGATAAACAAAGCTGTTCAATACAAGTGAAAAGAGAAGGTGGGAAGTGTTTTACACAGACTTTTGAGGAAGAATGTCACTTCTCGCTCAAAATCTGCTGAATAATATAAAAATAATGTATAAAAATAATACTGTCTTACCCTTGTGTCTTCTTCTCTCCACAACATTTCCTGCTCGGCCTCATTGACCTCCTCTGAGGGATCGTAGGAGTAAACGGGTAACAGCTGATGACGAAGTCTGTCAATTCTGAGCAACATCAAACACATTTCTCATTTTATAAAATACACTAAGGAGTCAACCGAAGTTCCACTGAGAAATAAATTGTTTTGAAAAGTCTCACCTTCTTTTCCTACGAATGTACATGACCTGGAACATAAAAAAGTAAGGTTAGTTAAACCGTGTATGAGATGACCATAAAATTCTATCACAAGTCAGCTGATTATGTTTTTGCTTGTGTATATGTCTGTAGCGTTAGCAAAATATCTCAAACCACTGGACAGATTTTACTGGAAACCTTGGGAAGAAATCACTGGGTGTGCATCTACAATGGATTACCTTTTTTTTATTCAACTTTGTTCAAGATGGCAATTAAACATAGCATAACAACTGGTTTTAACTCAGCCAGTTTGATACCATTAAAATTTGTTGAGGTAGTAGCGGAGAGTGATCCTCGACACACTTTGAGTGATAACATATTGCATCAGATTTGCGATTACAACTTTGCCAATGAGCGGTGATGTCAACCATGCCAGTCTGTTTGCAAAATACCTCTATTGGACATATTTTAGTGGAACTCTCCTAAAGTAATCATTTGACGACGTACAACTGGTTTGATTCAAAATGGTCACCAGTTAGACATTAGCAAACACAAAAATGATAAGAACTTAATCATGTTTACAGATAATAAGGTAAAATTGAATATGGCAATAGCTGAGAGTCAAGTCATCCTCAACACATAATAAGAGATCATATGAGCATGAGACTGTGCACAAGACAAAGTTTCACTAAACTCCATCTGCTGATTTTAATCTAAAACACGCACGACAGCCACAACTTTGTCAACGATCATCTTAGGTCATACAACCTCTGGCACTTACCACAGCTGCAACGATCCCAGCCAGGGTTATAAGGAAAAATGGCACCAGAATATAGCCGACTGTGCCACCCCTATCTACTAAAGGAGGGGTCTGAGTAGTTGTGCTGTTCATCTTAGTAATTGCTCAGAAAAAAAGGAGGGAGTCACAGGAGGGGGGCTGCTTGTGTGGGATCTTTGTCCAAGCAATAACCCCCCCTGGCTCCTGGTGGCAGACACTGTGTTGCAGCGGCTCTCTCGTCAAGCTGCCCCCTTGTTTATGCCTCATCCTCGTCCATCATGTGACTTCCACATGGTATCACTGCTCTCACTAATCAGCCAGCAATCTGAAGAATCACCAAAGGAAAAAAAAACACGTTTAACTGCCTTTCAAGGAAGCAACGAGGTCACATCACACAGGAAAATAAGCTGTTTCACGCAAAATAAAATAAAGCAATTCCGTGGTTGTTGTAAACGGACAAATTGTACTTGTTTACCAAACTACCTCGCCTTAGCAAGACGCTATTCTTTTTATAACCTCAGTTTATTTGATACAAAATCGGTCCAACACAATTACGCACGTTATCTAGACTAAAATAAAATAAATAAAAAGTTCCCTTAGCTAAACGCTTTGGTGCTAAACAAAAACCGCCACTGTAAACTCCACTGTTCGTTACATTACTGCGTGAACAAGCGGATTTAAAACGCTAAAATAAATCACGTTGGCTTCGGAAGCTCAAATATTTATCATGGTTTTATATTTTAAGTAAATACTAACTCACCGAGCAAATCTTTTCTTCGAGTACACTGCGGATTGAATAACTTCCGGTTGTCGGAGTGATGCAGAAGTACAACTTCCTTTCGGAGCTCTTCAAAATAAAAGCGCCAGGAAAAAAAAAAAGTTCAAAATAAAAGTGCATGTGCTTCTTTTAATGCTGTCTGGAATCGAGATGTCCTGAACTGAATTTGATTCTTATAAATCTAAAACCTAATTTTAATCACAAGCTTTTTCTTTTTCAAAGTATTTCACATGATCTTATTTGCTTTGTTATTATCTTTAAATAAATAAAAAACTTTAAATGTTTTAAAATAAAAATCCATTCAAACCAAAACTGATGATAAAACAGCTCAAAAACAGTATTTAATAGGGTTTTGTTTATTAGTTAATTTTATTTTTTGTCCAACTTTGGATAAAACTAGCAGAGCAAAACGTGTTTAACTACATGTAAAAAAAATAAACAAAAAATTTCATTCAACCTTTATTTATACAAACTGGTCTCATTGAGCCATGAGGACTCATTTACAAGAGGGACCTGTTCCAGACCAAACATATAATTGTACAGACAACAATAACAGTAAACAATAATAACAATAAACTATCATGTTGTCCCTAGAGTCAAATTGTCCACATGACAGATATGGATAAATGTGTTCGTTCTTCTTCAAGTTGTTATTACAAAAATAAAAATAAAAATCAGCATATTTTGATTAAAGTGTATTTTGAGATATAAATTTATACTGATCATTTCTGCTGCGTGTTTTTGATCAGGGGTCAATGTCAGGCAACTTTTAGATGTATTTAGTTTAACCTATTAGTTTATTTAACAGTCTGGTGCTTCTCTTTGTGTCTGAGAGAGGTGAGTTCAGTAGATATTAGGTCAAATAGACCTGACCTGATGCAATGCCCAGTCAGGTATACATCTAACAAGGTTGAGTCAGGTCCAGGTTCTCTATTATCCAAAAGACTTCTTCAGTTTGAGGAGCTGCACCAAACTCAGGCGCTGCTTAAAATACTGAGTTTGTCATTTGAAGTCTTTCAACAAAGAATAATCCATCCAGAGGACCTGACTCAACCTTGTTGTAGGTCAAATAAAATAAATCCTACAGACCTCACTCTGTAAGGGGATCTATTTGTTTATAAGTTTGTTTTGTCAGAACCAACTTAGGATGAAAAAAATAAAAGTCTAAATTAAATCTGAGCCTTTGAATGGCACTAAAAGGAAACATGAGAATGTATCAGACCATCCGCACCAGTTTGACGCAGGAAAACTGAATGTAAAATGTGTGGCGACAGAGAGTTGAGACTGGACAGAAGTTTGTGGTCCAGGTGATCCGTTTGGGGTCTCTTGGTGCAGCTGCAGGTCCAAAGTGAACCAAGCCTGGGAGGTGACATCACAAGCTCCTCTCACCGTTCCATGCATGTTTGTATTTTCATGAAGATTTAGCTCCAGTGGTTTTTTGTTTCTCACACAGCATCTGTGTGACGTGCAGCCCTGAGCTCTTTCTTGAGGCCTTTTCTTTCTTTCTGTTCTGCTCCTGCAGCTGCAGATCTGTTCTCCCCCTCCAGATGTTCGAGTTCTCCTGAATATACGTCTTTCTCATCATTACCGTCTCCTGCATTTAAGCGCTTTGTTTTCATTCATGCTGCCATATTTATCTGTAAAAGCCTCCCTCTTCTGTTTTTTTAGCTCCTTGCTTAATGACTGTCTTTTCTCCCTCATCTGCTGCCTGTCAGACTCTCGTCAAAAGGAGGTGTTTCTGAATCTTTCCATCTTCTGTTGTTCAGCCTCGAATCTCTCTCTTTGCTCCAACATGACACCACTTTTCTTTATCAGCTTTGTGCTAAGACTTTTCTTTGCTCTTCTAATTTTCTTAATATTTCCTTTCGTTTTTATGTCTTTAATGATTAACTCCCCCACCTTGAATGTCCAATGAACTGCTTGAAGATCTCTCTTGAAGGATCATTTCTTTCTGTCCTCTCTTGATGGACGGCCATCTTCATCTCTTTAAACGGACAGAAATCTTTTTAAAGGCACTTTCTCGCTGTACACCTTTTCTGCCTTTTTATTTCCTGCCCTTCTTTTATTCTTGTTTCTCTTCTCCATCCACCTCCATCACACAGATGCAAGAAACTAGCAAAAAATGAAGCCTTTGCAAGTGTTTTTGACTTGATTTCTAAAACACATTTTTTTTTATTTTTGACTCACTTTCTGCTCTCGCTAAAGGCGGACGCCTTCTCCTCTCCCTCCCCTGTTCTCCTCTTCCTCTTGCTTTTTGCTCTCTGTGTGTGTCTTGGAGTTCCTGGTACACATCTTCCGAACGGAAAAACAGTATTATGGACCAGGTGAGTTGGACTTTCAACGCAATCAACAAAATATTTTCAACAAAACGACAGGGTCCTGGAGAGCCCTCATGTCCTGCCGAGACTCACGCTGCAGGATACATCAGGGATCCATGGGGAGTTTGGCAGCTGATGTGTCTTTCAGTTTTGTCTCAGGAGGATGCCAAAGACATTTATATAATTGGATTCATGATAGCAGGGTTTCTGCTTTTTGACATCGGCGGATCCCTATGTTATCGATTTTTGAAGAAGACATCAGCAGCAGTTTTGGCCATGACAAAACTGCCAAGTATGTGTGAAGGTTTGGTTCATGCTACGAATACTCAAAATCAGCTGACTTAGGTGCTAAACCACAAGATGGAAGCAATTTTTCAGAATCACAGGCCACCTGTGGCTTCTTGGGCTCACCAGCATGTTGGAGTCAAACTTGAAGAAGGCTCATAGCACAGATCAGTGGAATGCCCATAAATCTGGCCATTTTGGATCTGGCAGCATGACGGCTCAGTGGTTAGCACTGTTGCCTCACAGCAAGAAAGTCCTGGGTTCAATCCCCAGTTGGAACTGAGGTCTTTCTGTGTGGAGTTTGCATGTTCTTCTCGTGCTTGCGTGGGTTTTCTCCGAGTACTCCGGTTTCCTCCCACAAACCAAAATCATACATGTTAGGCTGCCTTCAGGCCCAGGTCTCCCTTGCAAAAGAGATCTGTGATCTCAATGGGATTTGCCTGGTTAAATAAAGGTTAAAAAAAAAAAAAAAAAAAAGTTCCAGCAGGACTCAAGGCTGTCAAGGAAAAAACAGCCTGTCTGAAGAAAATCAACAATGTGTTTTATCTGAATCCGTCTCCCCCGTTTGGCCTCGGATGCAGACCGACTATCAAATTTCTCCTGGGACATGGGTAAACTAAGGAAAAAGCTTTGTCTATCACACCTGAACAACAACATCTTATCAGGACTATGGCCTATCTGAAAATGCTTCATGGACACATCTCAACGTCTTGACGTCAAATACATGTGTAATGTGTTTATAAATGTGCTTGCTGGTAGAGTTTTTTGATGTCTCAAATCATGTCCTGATAGGACAAGATGTAAAGAGATCTTTTTTGTAATCCCACTATCCATCCTCGTGGACTTTTACCTTTTTCTATCTAAAAAAGTATTCTGATAAATAATAAGAGGCTGCACTCTTGTAGCAGCAGCAACGTGCGCTCCGCCCAGCCCATGCATTATTGTGGGCTGCCCCACTCCGAGTATGTATTTTCTCTTATCAACAACTCTCATCAACTACGATGGGAAATTTTAGCTGAATATTTTTTTAAATTTGATTGAGTTACAGCCATGTGTGTGTTGGCAAATGTCAGCTTACTGTTGCAGCCATCTTGGATTGAATAGACTCCAAAAGTTATTTGGTTGTAGTTGTCCATCCATTGATTACTTTCTGAAAGTTTCATTAAAACTGGTCTGTGGTTCATGATATATTTTGCTAACAGACAGACAGAATAGACCACAAATATTAATGGCAACATTTTAAACATCAGTCTTGTGCAATCATAATATATGTTGGGAATAAGTCTCAGGTACTCCAACACTAATTTTAGCCCACATTAGCACACTTATAGCACCTCATACATTTTGCAAAACACACAAATCAAATAATAGCATTAAAACAATATTAGCACTTGGAAATGAAGACATAGCGTGTGATGTCTATGACATTTTAGAGCCAGCAAGGTGATAATATTATACTTAAGTTAGTTTTTTTTTTTGTACCTAAGAAATATATAAATATATATATATTTTAAAATGGTTATCTCTTGTCATTTTGTTTTGTCGAGCATTATAGTTAAGACTGCACTGTCAGAATTTTGCCTCTAGATGACACTAACTCTGTTTCATTCAAGAAGAAGGAAATGTTTATGACTGAATATGATGGACGGAAGGATGTTCCCTTATGCCCATATCGGCTGCTGATGTTCAGCTGAAATGCTGTCTTGTTATGTACAGTTTTAAAAATAGTGTTTTTATTATCAGGTAATTCATGAACCTTAAAGCCTTTCAGACCAACAAACACCAAACTAACTGCAGTCTCTCTCACATAATGTTATTTTTTATAAAATGATGCAAAAGAGGTGCAAGGAAAACAAAAATAGTCCCTTCAGATCGTGAGTTTGTCCACCATCTTACCCAGAGAAGGCCTTTCTAGTGGATATTAAATATAGATTAGATCAAAGTCATTATATGAGGTCGGCAAATATTTGGTGCATATTTGAGGAAGGGTTTGGATGAGAATCTTGTTGGAGCGATAATTAAATGTAAGCGTGTGACAAAATGTAAGCAATCATGGTTAGCAGGTGATGAACTGAGCTCCAGTCTGTGACTGGAGGGAGAAAATACCGTAAACTGTTTAAACACAACCCAGAAGCTCAAATCATTGCTCATCGGGGTGAGAGCTGGGTTTGCCAAGGCAGACATGTTTTTGGATCTACAAAACAAAAACCTGTTTCTGTTAAATGTTTGGTTTTGGTAACGTGTTGTGTTCCTCTGGGAGAAAATGGCTCCTGGACCCCAGATTAAACAAAGAAAAATAACTGTCTTTTCATCTGATCTTCACTAATGTCTTATTTTGGAGATTTTTTTTTTTTTCTTGCAGCAGTAAAATCGGTTGCACTTTTGTTTTTGAAGATCTCAAGGAGCTCGATGTCCGTCTCCCTGATGTGGGTCACTAGGCCTGAGCGGGGGGCGGCTTGTCATTTAGCACCTAGTGACTGGACCTCTACTCATGGGGCCTGGTAAGGCTAAGCCGTATGAATTACATATGTTCGCCTTCCTGTGGGCTCACTACCTGCCGGAGGTCCTGTACAAGTCAGGTGCATGGTGCCATGGGTGGCAGCCGAGGACAGGAGACTTGGCGCTTTGACCCAATAGAAGCTGGTTCTTGAGACATGGGATGTCAATCATCTGGTGGGGAAGGAGCCTGAGCTTGTGCATGAGGTTGAGACCACCAGTCTTCAATGGACAAAGCTGACTTGGGGTATATGTTGAGGTTGTTCTGTCCATAAGCGGGACTGAGGCTGCTGAGGTCATTAAAAACTTGTGGCGGCAGGACTCTAGGGTTGGATGAGATCCATACTGAGTTCTGGATGTTGCTGGGCTGTCTTGGTTGACCTGCCCTTGCAACAGTACATGTCACTCAAGGCATCAGGGGTGAGGGACTGAGGTGGGGATTCCCCTCGTTAAAAAGGGGGCCCAAAGCATGTTTGTCATTTATAAGTATAAGTGCTATGTGTTGTCATCAATGTATGTTCCCATACAAAGATGAAATTGGTGCTCTGCATTTAATCCACTGCACCTGAGACACACCCAGGTGGAGCAGTGGGCAGCTATGTAAGCACTCGGGGAGCAATAGGGATCAGGTGTCTTGCTCAGAGACACCATGACATGTGGGTATGCGAGGAGTTGAATCGTGACTTTCTGGTGCCAGATCAGCTGCCCTACCTCTCCCCCATCTCGGCCCCCCAATCACAGTAGAATCCCACTCCTAAGCCTGCCTGGTAAAGTCTGTTCAGAGGTGCTTGAGCAGAGAGTGTGGTCGAGGGCTGAACCTCAGATTCAGAAAGAACAAAGCTGATTCTGTTCCGGCTGTGGAACAATGGACCAGCACTTTACCCTCACTAAGATCCTCGAGGAGGCATGGGAGTTTTCCCAAGCAGTCTACATGTGTTTTGAGAAGGCATTTGACAGTGTTCTTTGGGGTACACTGGGGGGTGGGGGTGCTCCGTGTATTGGGGGTCCATTCAGTCTTTGTACAACTGAAGTGAGAGTTTTGTTCACATTGCCACCAGTAAGTTGGACCCCTTCAGGGTGGTGGGAGTTGGACTCTCCCAGGGCTAACTGTTCTCACCAGTTCTGTTCATAACTTTTATGGACATAATTTTCCGGTGCATCCAGGATGGAGGATTTTTGATAGATTCAGAATTCCATCTGTGTTGTTTGTGGATGATGTGTCTCCTGTTAGTGTCATTGTGTTGTGACCTCAAGGGGCTGCCTCATGTGGAGGACTTTAGGTGCAGGGTTTTGTTCATGAATAAGGGAAGAATGGAGTATGAAATCCACAAACGCATCGGTGAAGCTTTCACAGTACTGCAGACTCTGTGCCAGTCCGTTATGGTGAAAGGGGAGCTGCGATGCAAGGCAAAGCTCTGTGTTGGTTGGGTTACCTTCCTATACCTCACCTATCACAAACTCTGGGTAGTGATGGAAAGAACATGGTGATGATATAAGAGGTCAAAATGAGTTTTGTCTGGACTCGCCTGCTCTGTTCCTCCCACGACCCAACTACAGAACAAGTGGAAGATAATGACTGCATGGTTGGATCTTGTTTTTAAGAGTTGAGGACTGATCATTTCTCCATGAATCCTGAAAGTAAGGTAAACAAAATGCTAATAGAAATAGTGTTTCCATTCCAGTGCAACTGTGTTGCCATGTGCATCGCCTACATTTATTTTATAAGCAGCGTGTTTTTATTATTATTATTTTATCACCATGCTAGGCCTTTTCATCGATCCTCAGTCCCGGCCTCCTTCATTATTTTTTTGCTCTCCATGTTTGCAAATTCCTCTTCCTCGGCTTGTTTGCAAGCAAGAGAAAAGAAGAAGAAAAATTGGCACAAAATGTGCAACAATGAAAATCAGCAAGTGAGCAGAAGCTCTTCATGAGGTCAGTAAGAGGATGAGTCAGTTTGGCAGCTAAAAGAAAAAGAAAAACACAGCGTCCCCAGGTTTGACGTGTGTGGGCGGGGCTTAAAAGAACTGGAAAGGGAGGAGGGGCACCTCCCTTTTAAAAGAAAGCTCCTGATTGGTTGGAAAGCTGAAAACGAATGCAGGGCTCTCCCGATTTTTGAACACCCTCATCCGGATAAATATGCATAATTTTAAAATGAAATACAGAATCTGCACATGACTCACCCCTGGTACAAAACAAACAAACAAACAAACACAAACTGCAGAATCCCTTCCTGGTTTATGCGCTCAGCATCGTGGAGGTGGGATCCAAAGGATCCTGCAGCCTAAATCTGTCCTCCATTGAGAGTAAAGGCTGGGCCACCCCACCCCCACCCCCCACCCCCGCGCACCAACACAACCCACCCTTCCCTCATCGCGCGCCTGTGCCGTGGAGCTCCCCCTTGCTGCGTGCATCGTGATCTCGTGGACGCAGACTCTCGCAGAGGGTCACCTTCTGTTCCTGCAAAGTGTGTGCGCGCGTGTGTTTGTGCGCGCGCGTGCGTGGAGGAGGTGGGACATACAGCAGCAGAGGCTGTGGAAGCAGCAGCATCACGAACAGCGTCTCTGGTAAGTGAAACCCACGTGTGCGTGTGTGTGTGCGTGCGTGCGTGCGTGCGAGCGCGTGTGCCGCACCAGAAGCTGAGCACCTCGTCTCGTTTTTTATCAATAATTATATTAATAATTACTAATAAAGGAATGTGCACCCTGCGGCTCGTCTCCTGTGCTGCATGAACGCGTGCGGTTTCATCCTGCGTCATGTTACATGATGTTCCGCCGTTTGCTTGAATGTTTGCGCCAAGGGGGGGGGGGGGGGGGTGCTCTCTGTTTTGCGTCACCTTGAGTTGCTCTGCGCGCTTGGTTTCCAAGTGAAATCACATGATGGACGCGTTTCCTTCCAAACTGCAGCTGTTTTTTGTTTCACTCAGCTCGTCATGGTGGACACATCAGATGTTTGCTGGTGGCCTGAGGCTGCGTCCCGTGCGTCAAAAGCAAGAACAAGAATTTGAACTTGGTCGATGAAATGACGCGAATCAGTGGCTGATTGGATCACGAGGAGGGGGTTTAGGGGGGGGGGGGGGGGCAGGTGCTGTTTACATGATGGTTTTTTCGAGTGTTTCACGGTGCAAATGGACGCGGGTGTTCACTGGAGCGCTCAGCTCCTCCGACGTTATGTAATTGGTTGTCACAGCGCATGCAGCGAGGAGCCATCTCTGTCGTCATTGTTTTCCTCTGACAAACCCGAGAAGGGGGTGGTGGTGGTGGGGGTGGGGGATGAGGAGCATCCCGCTTTCTACACGGGATTAGGTGCATGTGGTCCTTTAATCATTCATCAGATCTGCTCCCCAGCTGAAATGCATCTGGGGTCACAGATGGCTAAAGGGTTGGAAAGCTGAACTTAAGTGCTTTGACATCCCACTGCGATGATGATGATGTACATGTGACGAAGATGAGTTCCTCTCAGGTTTTGCATAGCAAGTCTCTTTTTGGAGCTGTCCGAGGTGCTGAAGCTGCTCTTCAGTGCACCTCCGTGAGCAGCAGCCAACCCCTCCTCCACAAGGAAAGGAGATGATGAAGCTGTCAGGGCAGAGGAGGAGAAAGAGGGGAGGGTGGGGGTGTTGGTTAGGATTGTAATGCAATTGTTTTGCAGAGAACAGTCTGGCTATTTCTAAAAAAAAAAAAAAAAAAAACTCCTCTTTGCTGTTTGAAGTGGAGAGAAGGCGAAGCACGTCCACAAGCCAGAAAGTTTGAAAACTCCATGTTGTAGGTTGTGAACAATCAGTATCTTACCTGTTGTATGTTGCTCTTCTAACGACCTCAGTTTAATCCTGACCAAACTGATGATAGTGGCTTGTCTAAGACCAGAGTGCCCCTGCTGAATTATAACAAGCTCTTAAAACCTGAATCATGATAGTTCATGTGAACAGCAGTTTATAAAACTTTACTCTTCCATCACTTTTACAATATGCACTTACTGTCGCCCAAAAGGCAGACAATAATGTTTTTATCATGTGTCTGAAACTGATCTCTCATCACATGAGATTGATCATTCTTGGCGAGGTTTGACCAAAATGGCTCTAAAGCCTTTATCTCTTAACAAAACATCCTTTTAGTTTCCAGCTCTGGCATGAGAGGCAACGGATGTTATGCATGAAAGCTAGGTTGCAATGTACATAAACCTCTGCACTTACTGTATTTACAAGCACAAATAGAGACAGCAGAGAGAAGTACTTCTACTGCCTGGAGCACATTTTTTACTTCTGTCTCTCAAATAAGCTAATATACTGTAAACTCATGGCCCACTTCTGGCTCCCCTAAAGGCTAGCCATTAGTTTGTCACAATTAACTTTATTTCTCATAATCTGAAGTCATTCAAAGAGCTAACTACATCAGGTACGATATTGCTTGATTGTAACTGTACTACATAAAACAAACTTTAAAATCACTGGAATATTCTGTTGTTATTCCTTTTAATTATCCAGTTCTTTTTACATTCTCAATGAATCCCTGATTTATTACTGTGTTGTAGTCATTTGTGTTGATTTTACTTGCTGGAAGATCTTTCTAGTAAAGTGGTCTGCAACCTTTTTGATTAAAAAAGCCATTTTTGTCCCTTTGCACACTAAATAAAATGTCTGTGGAGCCGCAAAACCTGCTAAAAATGTGATTACCAACTGGTGACCCATGGCCCACTTCACATTTGTTGGAGGAGGCTTTACCGGCCAGTTGATGTGATTTTAAGAAGTTAAAATAGCCAATTATTATTAATATTAATACTTTTAATATTTTAGGGCAAAAAAATAAATATATTGATTTATGTAAAGAAGAAAAAAATAAAGTTTTTACCAATTTTATAAAAATTCAAACAAATATACTGGCTTATGTGAGTTTTCTTTTTAATTGTGGAAACAATTTATAACGTATCCTATTATGAAGTAATAAAGTATAAAGTGAAAAATTAGGCCAGTTTGTTGGGTACGTAATTTAATTTTAAAATGGAAAATAAATACTTCCATTTACTTAATTATTTTTTCTTTAATTTGTATTGTTATCAAGTTGACTCCCCACATTTCTTCTCAGCAACTTGCCTTAAAGGCATTGCCCTCAAAACCTTTGGTGGTTTTGAGAAAAAGATCACACCGTAAGATTAGAACTGAGCTCAAAGAAGTGGCTAACAAACTGCTAGCATGATGAAAAGTTTTACTCCTTGTGTTAGTCCTGTAGCAATAAACAATAAATCAGTTAATCACATGATAAATGAAAATTATTGACCTCATTTTCATTTATCGGCTTCATGTTTCTTCATGTCTCTCTCTTTCTACTGAAGACACTGGATGACAAAAAGCTCAACTCCGGTGCTCTTCACTGACCCCTCCCTTTCTCTTTTCTTTAAAATCCATTTTAACTGTCCAAAATCACATTTTTGGATCATTTAAAGCAGCTAATATGAGAAGCTAAGCTAAGAGCTAAGCTAACAGGCCGACCTCGGGAAAAAAAACCCTCCATTTTGTCGAAGCTCCAAAATTCATGGTCGAAACCTGTGCCTTCATCTAAAAAGTTGTTTTTCTCTGTAAAAAGAAGCTGAGAACTTGTTTACTGATTTTTTTTATTAAAAGCTTTGTGTGAAAAATGCTATGCTAAAGAGCTCAAACCACACCGAGCGTCTGTCTGTCATTTGAAGAACTGAAAAACAGGAACGTGAGACAGCCCATGTCATGTCAAGGGGCCTCCCTCCCATTTTTCTTTAAGAGACACACTGCTCGCTCCCTCACTATCCATCCTTCAGTTCAAACGAGTGGCCTTGGATGTTATCAGCCCAGTAAATGGCCATTATTAGTTGTTATCATCCCCATATGTAGCGATGAAACTGCCCCACCTACCTCCTAGTAGGTTTAAAGGTACGTTATTATCGTTATTATCGTTATTATCGCTGATAATAGGCAGCGTCACACGGGGGTAAACCAGGAAGTGTATTTTTTGTTTTTTTTCAGCTCATGTAACCCTTTTCCTAAACATAAGCTTACACGTGACCCAGAGGACCAACTCTAAACTTAACCCCCTTACCCTTGAGCCTAAACCTAACCAAGACTGTAAACCTAACCGCCAGACCCTTTACTGTAAACCTAACCACGGGAAGCTTTTATGAGCGGTAACAAAGGTAAAAACAGAGCCTTTTTCATCGCTAACAACGCTAACAACGTCCCTTTAAACACACTAGGAGGTACAGGAGGTGCAGTCTGACCGCTACATATGGAGATGATAACAACTAATAACAACCATTTAATGGCTGATAACGTTCGAAGGGTGCAAACTGTCTTATACTGCCATCCTGGGGTCAAAAAAGGTATTACACACAAAACATTACCAACATTTATTCTTAAATTTGACAATAATTACTAATTATTGTAAAATTTCAAACAATATTATCATTTATCACAATAATTTCTGAGACAATTAAGCGCCCAGCAAAATTTGTTATCGTAACAGGCCTATGTGTTAGTACTATCATTCACATGTTGGCAAAAGAAATGACCGGAAAACTGCTAAAACCGTTTATATTGTTGTTGGTACAACAACCAATAAACTTGGGTTTAATGATAGTTATGGTCAAAACTTGGAGCCGCTGCAGAGGGACCAAAGAGCCGCATGTGGCTCCAGAGCCGCAGGTTGCAGAGCCCAGGTATAGTAGAAAGTTTGACTCTTGTTTAAGGTTCTCAAAGTTTTGTGAAATGTTAAGTTTATGATGCTGAAAGTGAGAAACTGCTAAACACAGCACCATCGCTTGAGTTCTTATTTTTAAACCAGCTTCTTCAGTTTTCTTTTTGAGACCGTGCCTTCACTCCCTGGAAACAGTAACGACCTCTCCAGCTCCCTGCGGTGCAGAAAGTGTGTCAGCTTGTTTAGTGTTTTCATGTTGGGCGTGAAGCAGCTTCCTGCTGCACAGAAACTCTCTGTTTGCTCGTGTTGGTGACCTCTCCGGGTATTGTTAGTCCGCTCTGCATCACGTGTCAGGAGCAGAGGAAGAGGTGTGTGAGACGGCTGGGTCGGTGGTGTGCTTGCTGCTGAAAGGGTTAACGCTGTGTGAGGAGGAGACGGTGCTCTCTGACAAGGCGTGACAAATAAAGGTAATGTAAGAGCGGCGTGTCTGAAGGGCAGCCGGAGTGTCTCATTTCTCTCAGCACAGAACACACACGAGGAAGACTCTCCTCAGAGGAAGATGGATGATTTAAGAGTTTTGCACGGCAGATGGAATCTAACATAAAATCTGGTTCAAGGATTGTAATTTGAAGCTAAACTTTAAAATATTACCAAAAAACAACATGGTTCCTTATAGACAGAATTATAAACATAATGGGAGCATCAAGATGCAACGTTTCTTGTTTTATTTATTGTTATTTTTGTGATGTCCATGTGTTTTACTGGTTTTATAAATCTGTTGCTGTCAAACTGCCTCGGGCAACTTTGTGATATTTTAACCATTTATACGTCAAAATGTTCAGCTCGTTCAGGAGATGGATGTGTCGACTTTTAGTTTTTGTAACTTTTATACTTTTTAAAATCTCTTCAGT